TTTTGTAATATATAATAATAATTGTTGTTAAAAAAAAAAAAAAAATTGAATAAATGTTATTTAGACAAGTGCGGGGCCGACGACACCTGTTTTGAAGTGGAAGGAGGGGGGACACAATCATCAATTTGTGAAAAAAGTCCTCTATATCTTAAAAAAATTTCTTTAAAAAATCTTTTCTTGAAAAAAAAAAAGTCCTCCAGAAAAAAGTGGGGGCTAACCCCCCGGTGTCGTCGTGCCCCTAACCCCCGGTGTCGTCGGCCCGGAATTGAACTTTGTAGAATTAAATAAAAAAAAGAATTTTTCCAAAATGCTTTTATAATATCAAGATTATTCTTCTCAAACACCATAAGTTACTTTTTAATAACATAGCATCAACCATAGCAACCGTTTCATTCTTCAAGTTAGACCCTAAAACTAAACATATCAAGCCTGTAACTATTATATTTTTAATGTTTCAAGTTTACATTGGTCTAAATGTCAGAAATCTAAGTCACATTGCTATTTTTAACATTTTAACATTGTTTTGTTGTTTTTCTGAGTTCAAATAAAATAGTGCTTTACACTTTAAATTTTTTGTACCTACCCGATTAGAGTTGAAGGTTGAAAAGTAAACTATGGCAAATGAAAAAAGAATATTAAGACCAAGGAAAAGAAAATTTAATGGCAATTAGCATAATAATTCCAATAACACCAATATGCAATTTGATACTACACACAGGAACGTGTTCTACAAGTAGTAAAATGCCAAAAAATAATATTAAAAAACCATTATTTGATAATGATGAATTTATATTTTTTATGAATTTTAAACAAATGAAAAGTTGTTTTGAAAAGTATGTTACTTGTAATATATGTGGTACAAAGCTTTCTATATATTAGGTAAAGGTCTGCTCACGAATAAAGTAATCAATATCTTACAAAATTATGTTGGAATGGCTGTTTGACAAAATTCAAATAGTCTTTTGGAAATGAAGAACTCCGTAACAGCTTCACTTCATCATTGCACTAATTTTATTTCTGAAGAATTTTGTCATATATTTTGCACCAAGGGTGAAAAAAACTAGTGTAAATGGCAGTCTGGTTGAGCAACTTATCAAGTTACATAGAAGGTGAACTTACCAGTTACCATTATAAAAAAGATCAAGCCAGTGCTTCAAGATTTAACAAATACTGATATGTTTTCAAAATGTTTGCACACCATGACTCAAAATGAAGCATTTAATTAATTAATTTGGAACCGTTCCCCTAAAACTATATTCACTTCTAAAGCTGTTGTTGAAATGGATGTTTACTATGCAACCATTACTTATAATGATGGTTTTGTTAAGTTATCTTCTATTTATGTATTTGATGCTCTTAATATTAAATCTGGTAATTACTTTGAAATTATTGCAAGTGAAAAAAACTCCATACGGTTAACAAATATGAACAAAAAGATGTCTGACGAAACAAGTAAAAAATGAGAAAAAAATTAAGATCTGTTAGAAAATACTATTTTGGACAAAAATTTGTACACTGCCTCAGCTAGTGTAGCAGCTTGTTGTCTAAGTTGCATAATTTTTGTTTATAAATTTATTAAGCATGTAAAATCTAAAGAAGTTTGTTTGCCTACTATAATTATGTTCCATTGCTGTAGCATATATATATATATATGTATATATATATATATATATATATATATATATATATATATATATATATATATATATATATATATATATATATATATATATATATATATATATATATATATATATATATATATATATATATATATAAATGTTGTATAAAAAATATTTGTGTGTACATTTAATATTGTGTTCAACTATATTTGTTGAAAATACTTTTTTATCTTTAAACTTGTTTTTGTTTAGCGTTTCATAGAAGTACTATGCCACTTTTATACGAAAAAAATTGATACAAGGCAGTATATAAATTATACTGAATTATAATTTTGTGGTAACAATAAACATTATTAGATAAAAAAGTTATTAATTGTTCATTGGGTGCAAGTTGTCACTTTGTATAATAAAGTTTAAAAACTTAACCCGAAAACACATGGAAAGTCTAAAATTTTTACAAAAATGCAACATGTTATGTTACGTCAATCGTGTTTAGTGTTTTTGGTCAAGTTGTCTGTGGTTATGTTTATAAAGCTAACCATTTATGCACCACAAGAACCAAAGTCGACCATCTAATGTATATGCAATCAAAAATACAATTAAAGCCAGGACGGTTTGATTCTATTCACTTTTTTGACTGGTTTTTTATTGTTTTTTTTTGTCAATTTGTTGGAACATTCCTATTAGTTAAATCAAAGTAATTTTTACAGTGAAAAATTTGAATTTACTAAAGAAAATCTTGTTGAGAAAGAAACAGTATCTTGTTCTATAACTGATAACTCTACCCATTTATTGCAATCTCTTAATGTTGCATTTTATTGATCTCTTAAAAAATATTTAAAAAAAATACTTAATCAATTGGAAACCTTTTGTTTAAAAAATGCACAGACTATTACAAAAAATAAATTTTCTTTGTTTTTTGTTTACTTATAATCACTAGCAAAAGGCAACCCGTAATACGGGTTTTGGTCGGTCTGTTACATAATTAATTTATAGTAGCTATTTTCCACAATTTAATCTTGCAAAACCTTAACTAATACCTTTTTAGAAAATTGCCTTCAGCTTGAAAAAATTAATCCATCTGTAAAATTAACATAAAAATTATGAGGAGGTAAAATAATTTACCAACTACTACTTAACATTATTAAGTAATTTACAAATGGCACAGATCATAACAGTGTAAGGCAGAACCATTTTCATCGACCTTCCTAAGTTTAACACAATACGTTTTTAGTTACTGACGCAAAATAATAACACTTGGTTATACTTTAAATTGACGAAAGTGTCAACTAAACCCTTAAAATAATTTTTATAACACGAACCATTAAGATTAAAATGAAGTTAATTTATATTATACAGGAGTTATCAATTTTTTGTTATCCCCTTGATTAATTGTTCTTTAGAAAAGAAAATTGGTAACTTAAAAATGTTAAATGCACACGTTTAAATAAGTTTATAAAAAATAACAAAGTTTATTATACTACGCAACTGAGTACAAATACCTTTCAAACAAAAGAAAATTTAATTTACGATCAAACATAGGTATAACTAATTTTTTAATACATTAATGCATCATAGAACAAACTAAAATAAAAATTATAAGAGATAAGTAGACAAAAATTTGTAAACCAAGCTGACCCGACCCGGGTCTTGTTAAGTCTGTTCAACACAGACCATTTGTATATCATTTATTTGGCCTCTTTATTTTATTAAATTTTTAGTAAACGGTAATTTGCCACCATTTACTAAAAATTCCTTTTGTAACTCGAAATTTAATTTTTCTAAATATTTTGGCTCTAATAAAGAGGTTCCTTCCCTCTTTTTGCTTTAATGGTGGCCTGGTGAATAAAATAAAATATTAAAATGTAAAACAATGATCTACTTATATAAAAATGTTTTCTTTCTTTCCTCAAAAGTGTTGCTAATACAGACTAAGCTAACTAATTAGTTAAACACATAAATAAAACTTAAGTAACTCGATATTAATGCGCAAAACTACAATATTCTCCGTATTTTTAAAGGTTTTTAGTTACGACCGCCCATTCAACCCATACGACCCCCCAATCAATTCTCTCTCTACAATTCTCAATACTAATTCTTATTTAAGTCTCATCTAAGAGAGAGGAAGTGTTTTAAAAACACCATGTTAGAAAAAGTAAAAAAGTCATGCAATAAATAACAGTAACTGGTTTTATTATGCTACCAATAAACAAAATTATTTTTACCTTAACTAAAAGTTAATTTCCAGCATTTCTTAATTTATTTCCAGCTTCTCTCTAACTGTTGACAAATGATTAATATTGTAAATTTCACATCATATTAAATTTACAAAATTAAAACCATGTTTTAACAGTAAGCAAAATAATCAAGTGATGACAAAGACAACTAAAAAAAAAAATGAACAATTATATTAAGATTACAAAAGTAAAAAAAAAAAAAAAAAAAAAAAAAAAAAACATTTAAAACTGAAATTTTTATTATTTGTTACTATAAATAGTAAAATTCATACTTTGCTTTATTTTAAAGTGTCTAATGTAAAGTCAAATAATAGACATCAACAGCGCTTGACACTGAATTCTGCCAAGTAAGTTTTTGGTTCATCAAGCAAAATTTCTTATATTTCAACGACAATTAATTTTATCATGCCTAGATCTATTTCTTTCATATGACAACAATTTCAAGTCACCTATAACCATTTACACTAATAACTTCTTCGAGCCTAATATTATAAATCTGTTATCATTAAATATATATTACCAGTGGTTATGCTACTGTTACAACTGAATAAATGAACGTTTTATATTTTTACAACTGTAAAATATAAAACAAAATTTATTTACATTATTTTAATTTAGCAAAGAATTTAGAACACAGTGCAAAGTTTAGAACACAGTGCAAAATTTAGAACACAGTGCAAAGCATTGTGTTCTAAATTCTTTGCTAAATTAAGAAAGCCTTCAGGCACAATCTTAATGCACAAAAATAATAAATGCAGAATCTTGTATAAAAAATGAAGCAATGTCAGTCTAAAGTAATATATATGTATGTATATATATTTAAATTTTTTCTATTCTTAATTTTTTCTTTGAGATAATATTCATATAGATTCAGAGAAATATAAAATATTCCGATATATAGGCACATTTAAGTATATAAACTTACCTGTCAAAAATTACAGCCAGTTTTTCATGTTAAATACATAAAATATATATCTAATATAAAATTAAACAAAAAATTAAACTTACTCAAATCAGTAACAGTTCGACTGTCTATATATTTTTATTATTAACCCTTCTATTTAAAAAATAAAAACAAATGATTTGAAGTAACTAAAAAGCACTTTAGCTCTTTCCAATTGCACTAAAAAATAAAATAAATCTTGCTTGCTAAGTTGCCTAATTCTTAAGAATCTGATAACAAATAAGTAAAAAACCAAGAACAAACAAACATTTTATTTACTAAAACTACTCTATTTAAACAAATTAAAGTATACAGAGAACAACATTGATACTCCTTGAAAGCTGAAAATTTATCTCAAATTTGCTTGTAGACCTTGCTTATGAAACCACTTGAATAAGAAAAGCATCAAAAAAGCCTAGAAGCTGGTATATGCTACATTGAATTTTAAATGTTGATTGGTGTAGATATTTTTAAAAAATTCAAAATGATTTGTTCTTCTATAGCAAATAAATACACCATAAATCTGAAGTTAAAAATGTAATGAATAAGTAAATACAAAGAAAAACATCATATGTGAATTAAAAATCAATGTACCTGATAGAGATAAGCTGCGGTGATACCTGAGTAGTATCACCGCATACACGTATTTATCAAAAAAAATTTTATTTGATCATAATATAAATGCAAACATATATGCAAACTTTTAACAACTATAAAAGAACATTTATTAGCATCAATTATTTTTAATGTAACAAAGAATGCAGACTACAATGCACGACATTGTTAATAAAAATGAAGTTATGTCAGTCAGTATATATTTATCTAAAGTAGTGAAAAAGAATAAACCATTAAAAAACAAAATTAAAAATTTTTAATAAATATATATTTAGATACCTTAAAATGAAGCATAACACAACACTCTTTTGACAAATTCCAGAGCAAATTTTTAAAAATTTTCTATTCCTTATTATTTTATTCCTTATATCGATAAAATACATATTAAATGCCACATTCAACTAATGTAATTAATACCTTATTTAGATCTCTCTTGATTAACTAAAGAATTTAAATTTTAAATAAACTCTAACTAAATTTTAACAAACAAACAACCAAAATAAATCTTCATATTAATAGTAGGTTATTAAGTTGAGTAATAGATCAAACAATTTAATCTACTCTAATAATCTACTACCTTATTAATAAACTTTAATTTTTTTTCTACGACTCAGTGTAACTATAATATAGATATTTTTAAAGTAAAAAAGAATTTAATATTATAATATATATGATTTAAAAAACCTGAAATTTTAAATCTACCTCGAAGAAAACAGATATATAATAAAAAGTATTTTTATTTCTTTTTAAAAATTTTAAAATGCTTTATAACTTACTTGTTTCATATTATTACCAACGTCTAAATAGAAAAACAAAGATATATGAGTTATATATAGGATTTTAAAATATATATGATTTTAAAAAACTGAAACTTTAAATCTACCTCAAAGAAAACAGAGATATATTGAAAAGTATTTTTATTTCTTTTTAAAAATTTAAAAATGCTTTTTAACTTACTTGCTTCAATATTGTCATCATCTAAATAGAAAAACAAACAAACATTTAAGTCGACTTATTCTTAAATCTAGTTTAACTTCTTCAATAATAAAAAAAATTTAATCTTTGAGGATTAAATTCATTTACAAAAATCCGTTTAAACCATTTTAACATTGTTAAGTTAATTTTAACATTGTTAAGTTTAACATTGTTAATTTAAAGTTTTAAAAAACTGAAACTTTAATTCTACCTCAAAGAAAACAGATATATATTGAAAAGTATTTTTATTTCTTTTTAAAAATTTAAAAAGACTTCTAAACTTACTCCCTTCAATATAATTATATAATATATATAGTATATATGATAAATAAACCTCCACAATTTCCTTGGTTTAACAACTCGATTATGATTTATAACAACTCTGTAAACATAAATTTTCTAATAACCTAAATAAATTACAGATAGACAAACATAAACTAACACAATTAAATCCTAAACCAAAATTCATTCATGCAAGACAAATAATTTTATATTTATTGAAGAGCCAGAAACATATTTTTTTTCAAAGAGCTAAAGTATTAACAATATTAAAGACAAGTTTTATTTATAACAAAATTTTCAATAAAAATTAAATTAAGATAAATTTATAACAAAATGTTGTCATGGCTTTTATCCCAATAACCAAAACTAAGTGAAAGCATGAAACTACCCATAAATATATTTTAACGCTAGACACAAATTAAGAATTAAAGTAATCTATAACACGAAGCTTTAAATTTAAAATTACAATTTAAAAAAGATTACAATAAATTAATTACTTTTAAATTAAAAAAAAATTTAGATTACCTATAATTTTAAGCTACTAAACATTATCTACTTAATGTCAACTTAGATATTTTGAACTCGTACCATGAAAGGTTGAAGGGAAATCTGTAAGTAAGCACGCGGTAAAGAAAAGTCTAGAAACTACTTAAAAAGTGTATTTTACAGATACAGAACCGTACCGTAACTATAAAACAATACGCGTAACTATGCGCACTATTAATATTCATAGGCTATTCATTATAGGCGATTATATTTGTTAAATCAAAAGGTAATCAACAACTTAGTTGCTTCGTGGTTTTGAAAAAAAAAAGGGAGTTACCCA